TGGTTTAGGAGTGTTATGACAGTGGGCGTGATGGTGGGCGGCCATGGGCGTGACTGGGCGGCGTGTGTCGCCTCGTCGACCGCCCACACGGAGGCCCCTACCCCTCCTACCCACTCCTGTGCCGCCCACGATGATCCAGCCGCCCATACCTCCAAGGTGCCCTTCAACGTTTCGGCAGGGGCGGACCTGCCGAGGGCGGTGTCCACCCACGCCCACGCCGCCCATCTGCTGAGTGTGTCTCTCACCCAGGAGAACTTCCACCGACCACACCGCCCACAGGATACACCCACTCTCAAACTACAGGTGAGCCAGTGGATTATTCCAGAAATCCATCCTGTGGATGATAACACAGTCACGTGGATGTTGACTCCATCCTGTGGATGATAACACAGTCACGTGGATGTTGACTCCATCCTGTGGATGATAACACAGTCACGTGGATGTTGACTCCATCCTGTGGATGATAACACAGTCACGTGGATGTTGACTCCATCCTGTGGATGATAACACAGTCACGTGGATGTTGACTCCATCCTGTGGATGATAACACAGTCACGTGGATGTTGACTCCATCCTGTGGATGATAACACAGTCACGTGGATGTTGACTCCATCCTGTGGATGATAACACAGTCACGTGGATGTTGACTCCATCCTGTGGATGATAACACAGTCACGTGGATGTTGACTCCATCCTGTGGATGATAACACAGTCACGTGGATGTTGACTCCATCCTGTGGATGATAACACAGTCACGTGGATGTTGACTCCATCCTGTGGATGATAACACAGTCACGTGGATGTTGACTCCATCCTGTGGTATGATAACACAGTCACGTGGATGTAGACTCCATCCTGTGGATGATAACACAGTCACGTGGATGTTGACTCCATCCTGTGGATGATAACAGTCACGTGGATGTTGACTCCATCCTGTGGATGATAACACAGTCACGTGGATGTTGACTCCATCCTGTGGATGATAACACAGTCACGTGGATGTTGACTCCATCCTGTGGATGATAACACAGTCACGTGGATGTTGACTCCATCCTGTGGATGATAACACAGTCACGTGGATGTTGACTCCATCGTGTGGATGATAACACAGTCACGTGGATGTTGACTCCATCCTGTGGATGATAACACAGTCACGTGGATGTTGACTCCATCCTGTGGATGATAACACAGTCACGTGGATGTTGACTCCATCCTGTGGATGATAACACAGTCACGTGGATGTTGACTCCATCCTGTGGATGATAACACAGTCACGTGGATGTTGACTCCATCCTGTGGATGATAACACAGTCACGTGGATGTTGACTCCATCCTGTGGATGATAACACAGTCACGTGGATGTTGACTCCATCCTGTGGATGATAACACAGTCACGTGGATGTTGACTCCATCCTGTGGATGATAACACAGTCACGTGGATGTTGACTCCATCCTGTGGATGATAACACAGTCACGTGGATGTTGACTCCATCCTGTGGATGATAACACAGTCACGTGGATGTTGACTCCATCCTGTGGATGATAACACAGTCACGTGGATGTTGACTCCATCCTGTGGATGATAACACAGTCACGTGGATGTAGACTCCATCCTGTGGATGATAACACAGTCACGTGGATGTTGACTCCATCTTGTGGATGATAACACAGTCACGTGGATGTAGACTTCATAATAGAGCAAAAATAGACATACGTACGATATCTTTTAGACCTAGTTAATAATGTGTTTTTATTAGACTTTCTTGTCTATTAATCTACATTTTTTAGACTTGTCTGTAATTAAAATTTTTAGACTTTTTTTTTTTGCTCGGAATTTATATTTTTTAAGACTTTTTATTTTCATATTATATTTTTCAGACTTTCTGGTGACTATTTCTTAGACTTGGTTTATGTTTTTGTTTATGAGACTTTGACCTGTGACAGACGGGATGGTAACACCTGTAACACCTGTCCCATACACCTGTAACACCTGTCCCACATATTTGTCCCACACACCTGTAACGCCTGTCCCACACACCTGTAACACTTGTCCCACACATTTGTCTCACACACCTGTAACACCTGTCTCACACACCTGTAACACCTGTCTCACACACCTGTAACACCTGTCTCACACACCTGTAACACCTGTCTCACACACCTGTAACACCTGTCTCACATACCTGTAACACTTGTCTCATACACCTGTAACACCTGTCCCACACTTCTGTCTCATACACCTGCAACACCTGTTCCACACACCTGTAACAAATGTCTCACACACCTGTAACACCTGTCCCACACACCTGTCTCATACACCTGTAACACCTGTCCCACACATTTGTCTTACACACCTGTAACACCTGTCTCACACACCTGTAACACCTGTCTCACACACCTGTAACATCTGTCTCACACACCTGTAACACTTGTCTCATACACCTGTAACACCTGTCCCACACTTCTGTCTCATACACCTGCAACACCTGTTCCACACACCTGTAACAAATGTCTCATACACCTGTAACACCTGTCCCACACTTCTGTCTCATACACCTGCAACACCTGTTCCACACACCTGTAACATGTCTCACACACCTGTAACACCTGTCCCACGCACCTGTCTCATACACCTGTACCACCTTTCCCACACGCCTGTAACACCTGTCTCACAAACCTGTAAAACCTGTCTCACACACCTGTCCCACACATCTGTAACATCTGTCTCACACACCTGTCACATCTGTCTCACACACCTATGGTGTTACAGGTGTGTGATAATTTATCTCACACCTCTGTTTCACTGACCAGCTTGACACACACGAAGATAACACTTGACACACACGAAGATAACACTTGACACACACGAAGATAACACTTGACACACACGAAGATAACACTTGACACACACGAAGATAACACTTGACACACACGAAGATAACACTTGACACACACGAAGATAACACTTGACACACACGAAGATAACACTTGACACACACGAAGATAACACTTGACACACACGAGGATAACACTTGACACACACGAAGATAACACTTGACACACACGAAGATAACACTTGACACACACGAGGTAAACACTTGACACACACGAAGATAACACTTGACACACACGAAGATAACACTTGACACACACGAAGATAACACTTGACACACACGAAGATAACACTTGACACACACGAAGATAACACTTGACACACACGAAGATAACACTTGACACACACGAGGATAACACTTGACACACACGAAGATAACACTTGACACACACGAAGATAACACTTGACACACACGAGGATAACACTTGACACACACGAAGATAACACTTGACACACACGAAGATAACGCTTGACACACACGAAGATAACACTTGACACACACGAAGATAACACTTGACACACACGAGGATAACACTTGACACACACACGAAGATAACACTTGACACACACGAAGATAACACTTGACACACACGAAGATAACACTTGACACACACGAAGATAACACTTGACACACACGAAGATAACGCTTGACACACACGAAGATAACGCTTGACACACACGAAGATAACGCTTGACACACACGAAGATAACGCTTGACACACACGAAGATAACGCTTGACACACACGAAGATAACAAGCTTGATCTGTCAGTAGGTAAAACTGTATTAGTCTGTTAATGGGCACTACTGTAACTTAAGCCACTATGGTGTCCCTCCTGCAGGTGAAAGACGGGGTACTGGTGGCTGGAGACAACGTGCCCATGCCCACCTGGCTTCCACTGCTGCCGCTGGCCACGGACGTGCACGCCGAGGCTGCCACGCTCACCTACGCCCACGCCCACGGTGAGGGCGGCGGGGCGGCACTGAGGGTCACACTGACGAGGGCGATGAAGGAAGACGAAACACCACCTCTATGGTTCTCCTCTGAAGTGGCTGCCCACCTGGGCCTCCCCTTCCTTAACTTCTCACATATCAGAAGTAAGCATATATATATATATATATATAATATATATATATATATATATATATATATATATATATATATATATATATATATATATATATATATATATATATATATATTATATATATATATATATTTATTTTATTTTTTTTTTTTTTATTATCACACTGGCCGATTCCCACCAAGGCAGGGTGGCCCGAAAAAGAAAAACTTTCACCATCATTCACCCCATCACTGTCTTGCCAGAAGGGTGCTCTACACTACAGTTTTTAAACTGCAACATTAACACCCCTCCTTCAGAGTGCAGGCACTGTACTTCCCATCTCCAGGACTCAAGTCCGGCCTGCCGGTTTCCCTGAATCCCTTCATAAATGTTACTTTGCTCACACTCCAACAGCACGTCAAGTATTAAAAACCATTTGTCTCCATTCACTCCTATCAAACACGCTCACGTTCCTCCAAACTGCCAATATCTCAAACCCCCTCAGGGAAACCGGCTAACCGGTTTCCCTGAATCCCTTCACAAAATATAACCCTGCTCACACTCCAACAGCATTATTTCCCAGGAACACGACAGAAGTGAAATTTTGTTACATAGTGTAATCTATCATCCAACTGATTAGATTACCACCAATATTCATCTTGTCTAGTTAAAGAAAAATAACTTTTCTTTGCGACTATCAAATGCACATTTTAGATCAAGAAATGTAGCAAAACTCGTAGAAGTGTATGAAGTTTGGCCTCTGATTTTTAGAATAGTCTATTATGTCTCTGTCAGTGAAATAATTTTCAAAGACAACTAGTTAAGGAGAATTATCTAAATGTATCAGGCTGTTGCAGATTACATAATGAAAATATTGTTAATGGGAGTCTGAAGAGTTCCCTTCATGTAACTAAGATTATACAGTGATAACAAAGGTTGTATCAGGGACTTCCAAGTCCTTCATCGATAAGTAATAATGAAAAAAATTTGTTATGTGATGGATCATGTCATTATTATTGTTATATTGACAATGAAGTTAAGTTAGAGATTGTTGGAGTAAGACTGTGTATTGTTTACAGATGGAGTGTACGTGTGTCCTCACTGTGAACAGCACTTTACAGCACCCAACCCCCTGAAACTACACCTAGCTTCCCGCTGTGACACCCTGCCATCCCAGCAACTGTGGGCACGTGTGTCCTGCCCACCTGCCCACACCCCCCGCAAGCCCTGGTTCACGCCCCTTCTCTCACCCACCTCCCTGGGGGAACTCTCTGGGTCATCCAAGCCACAACGATCACCTTCCCGAGGGGTCAACAGCTCCCCAGGGATGTCCCCCGTGGCGTCTGGGGGTCGGGGGTCACCCGGGGGTAGTGAGTCCGTGTCTCCCGACTCCACCAGCTCACCCATGAGCTGCACACGACCAGCTTCCCCAAGACAGGTCCAGCAGGAGCCTCGTTCGGCCTTCCGAAGAGTAGGCGGCAGCGTCACTGGTCGGCTGGAGGGTCCTGGACCAAGACTGCAGATGTTCCCCAGGTCTCCTGGCCTCCTTCCTGCTGGACCGTCCCGGGGGGCCTTCAGGGGTTCATCCACGGTGCACCCACTCATAATGGGCGGTCCACAGCCCACACACGGCTCAGGTTTGCTAATCCACCCACACTTGCTGCTCAGAACACTGCTACCCACACATACCCACCCCCAGAGCACCAGTGCTACTCAGCCACTAATGCCTGTCATGCCCCTGACTGGTGCTGCCCGACCCATGCTTGACGCAGGCGGCGCTGGGGTTGTGGTGGACCCCTGCGCAGAAGTGGAGACTCTAGTGTCCAATCTAGGCCGCAGTCGGCGCGGCCACCTCTGCCTCTACTGCGGCAAGCTCTACTCCCGCAAGTACGGCCTGAAAATCCACATCCGTACCCACACGGGCTACAAACCCCTGAAGTGCAAGGTGTGCCTGCGGCCGTTCGGTGACCCCAGCAACCTCAATAAGCACGTAAGGCTTCACGCTGAGGGAGAGACGCCATACAGGTGTGACCACTGCGGGAAGGTGCTAGTTCGTAGACGGGATCTTGACAGACACGTCCGCTCGCGGCATCCGGAGGTCCTTCCGCCATCCGTACATCCTCTCACTGACACTGAGGATGACGAGGAGGTTCTTGAAGTGCAAGATGAAGAATATTCAGTGCAAGATGAAGTGCAACACTCAGTGTAGCTCTTCCTGAAGTGTAACACTCAACTTAGCTCTTCCTGAAGTGTAACACTCAACTTAGCTCTTCCTGAAGTGTAACACTCAACTTAGCTCTTCCTGAAGTGTAACACTCAGCCTAGAACCAAGTGTTCACCTTTCCACAGGTTTATAAAGAAGGTTGGACAAATGTTTGAGAAGTGTTGGATTTATGGCGGACCTGCCTAACATAGGTCAGTGGTATAGGTAACCGGTTCAGAGAAGCGACAGGTTCTCTGAACCAATATCTTTAATGTGGAAACATTTCGCATCAGTGGCTTCCTCAGTCGAGTACAGAGTAGAATGATTAAAGATCAGAAGGAGTTTGAGGTAATCAGTCCCTCAGACTGCAGTCCATTGATACTGAAAAGAATGCAACATATGCGCGTAGAAGGAGTTTATTTACTGCAAACAAGTAAAAGGCAAAGCATTTCTTTTCCCCGGGTCGGGCAGCTTTGGAAAAACCCCATTTACCCAGCCCCCCCAACCCCTTTTTAGAGCCCTCGCCACCAAAATTAGCGCCTCGTGCAGCTTTCTCGGCAGCTCCGAACACTTCACTTAACTCACGACATCCAGCGGGCTCCATTGCTGGAACCCTACCCCCAACTCCTCAACTTTTCCCACCACAACAGTCCCCAGTGAAGAACCTTTTGCCTAAGGGAAAAAGCAAGCTTTACCTTCACCTTGACCATGAAATTTGTTACAGGCACGTGCTTCACGAGTCATAAATGATCTGACAGACCAAAAAAAAAACAAAGAAAATTTTGAATTATAGTAAAGATCGTCTTGAATAATGCATGGGGGACAAAAACAGTCCTTGAATTTTTTGAAAATTTTCCCCTACCACCATCACGGGGCCCAAGATAGTCGGGGGGGGGGGGGGGGGGGTCTGAGGCCTCAGACCGAGTGCATAAAATTTTTTGGGCGCTGAGCGCACAGGGATTACAGCAAGACCCTGATCGCGGCCAGGGAGAGATGAATTAATCGATGTCCCCTTTGAGATCCTAGGGGGTAAAATTTAGGATTAAGACCCGTGTCAAGACGCTTTCCGACGAATCAATCAACCAGACTCTGTGAGCACCACAGAAAACAGACGGGGGTTTTCAACACATTCCAAGAATCCCCCCGAGTCACTCGTCATGGGCTGCGGCAGAGTGCCAGGAAAGGTCGATGGAGCAAAAATTTTTGAAGTGGACGCTTCATGGAGCGAGAACACCGCCCTCACCACTCAAACCCCAAGATATGTGTCCCCCCTGTGGCGTTGTAGCTAATTATCACATTTATGCTGAAGAAGACTCCCGTGCTCTTTTTCAAGTGTGTCCCCGTCTATAGCTTAACGGTATTCATTGGCAAACCCCGACACCCCTTTCAAGTCACTCCCGGGGTCACCTTAAAAGACTCGGTCACGCCCCACCCTGGCAAAAACCTACGAAAACCGCTCTAATGTGAATTTTGTGAACCTTGTACCAGTGTATGTTGAACTTTAATGCGAAACATGAAACCCTTGAAACGTAATTTAAATCTTATGTGAACAATGGAAAACTATACCGCGTGTTCAGCCATGTTGTGAACATTGAACTTTGCCCCTGGTATGAACTTATGGAACTTTGATTTGGGGCAAGTGAACTTAAAGTCAAAAATCCTAAAAACAATATTTTTTTTTTTTATTTTATATTTTTTTATTATTATTTTATTTATTATTTTTTTTATTATTATTATTATTATCATTATTAACACACTTATTGAAAAGCCCCTGGGCTACAACCTTACTTTATATAAAAAGTATTTTAAATTTTACAATTATATATATATATATATATTTTTTATATATATATAATAATTTATATTTATATAATTATATTATATATATATATTATAATATATTTTTTTAATATTTTATATATATATATAAACTACTTGATGTGCCATGTCCTGTGATTTATAAGTTTATCTCTTATATATTTTTTTAAAATTCCCCAAAGGGTCTATTTTGTCAGAAATAATGAACAATAAAGCTTTTTAAGCTTTTTTGTAAATTTATTTTTTGGTGTAATATACCGGGGTTATTTTTGAATTTTTTTGACCAGGAAAATAGATGGATTTTAAGAACCTGAGGTCTTTCCCAGTCATCGTCACTCAGTCTTCAGCCTCAGTCACTCAGTCACTCATCATCAGTCACCCGTCACCCAGTACTCAGTCACCCCGTCACTCAGTCACTCAGTCACCCGTCATCAGTCACTCGCACCCAGTACCCATCCTCAGTCAACCCGGTCACCGTCACCCGTCACCAGTCACTCAGTCACCAGTCATCAGCACCCCATCACTCGTCCTCATACCCAGTACTCAGTCACCCATCAACAGTCACTCATCACTCAGCCTCAGTCACCCCGTCACTCAGTCACCCCGTCATCAGTCATCAGTCACTCATCCTCGCACTCAGCCTCAGCACCCGTCACCCGGGCACTCGTCACCAGTCATCAGCACTCGTCACCCAGTCACTCATCACTCAGTCCCCCCAGTCATCTACCCCGTCCCCAGTCACCCAGTACCCAGCACTCAGTCATCAGTCCCCGTCACTCAGTCATCAGCACTCATCACCCCCGTTACTCGTACTCAGTCCCCCCATCACCCAGTCATCGTCACCCGTCACTCAGTCACCCCGTCACTCAGTCAGCACCCCGTACTCATCCTCAGCACCAGTCCCCAGTCACCCCGCACCCATCACTAGTCACCCGTCACTCAGTCACCCAGTATCAGTCACTCAGTCACTCAGTCACCCGTCAAATCAGTACCCACTCACCGTCACCCCGTCACTAGCCCCTAGTCACTCGATCAGTCAAACCCCGTCACCCAGTCACTCAGTCCCGTTATCAACCAGTCACCCCGTCCCCAGTCACCCCGTCACCCAGTCACTCAGTCCCTCAGCACCCCGTCACTCAGTCCTCAGTCACTCATCACCCCGTCACTCAGTCATCAGTCACCCCGTCAACCCGTCATCAGTCACCCCGCATCAGTCACCCGTCATCAGTCAGCACCCCCTAAATCAGCATCATCACTCAGTCACCCAGTCACCCGTCACCCGCCTCAGTCACCCAGGGCACTCGTCACCCCCTCATCAGTCATCCGTCCTCAGTCACCCAGTCATCAGTCACCCCCTCACTCAGTCACCCTTTACTCAGCCACTCGTCCTCAGTCACTCAGTCCCCAGTCCCCAGTCCCCAGCACCCAGTTACTCGGGGGGCACCCGACCCGTCACCCGTCACTCCCTCACCCCCGTCACTCATCACCAGCACTCAGCACCCATCACTCAGTCACCAGTCACTCAGTCACCCGCACTCAGTCACTCGTCACCGTCCTCAGTCCCCAAAACCCAGCACCCATCCCAGTCACCAGTCACCAGTCACCGTCACCCGTCACTAGTCACTCAGTATCAGTCACCCCGTACCCTCACTCAGTCATCAGTCCTCAGTCACCCGTCACCAGTCACCCTCACTCGTCACTCAGTCACCCATCACCCAGTCCCCCACACTCAGTCACCCGTCACCATCCTCATCCCGTCCCCAGTCACCCGTCACCCATCACCAGTCACTCATCACCCCGTCACCCCGTCACCCAGTCACCCCGCCTCAGTCCCCAGTCATCAGTCACTAGTCACCCAGTCACCCAGTCACCGTACCAGTCATCGTCCCCAGCACCCCGTCACCCAGTCATCGTCATCAGTCACCCCGTCACTCAGTCACTCAGTCACTCAGTACCCGTCCCCAGTCACTCGTCACTCGTCACCCCGCACCAGCATCAGCACTCAGTCACCCCCTCCCTCAGTCATCAGTCCTCAGTCCCAGTACCCCTCACTCGTCCCCGTCACTCAGTCCCCAGTCACCAGTCCTCAGTCATCGTCACCCAGCACTCAGTCACCCACTCACTCGTCCTCGTCACTCAGTCACTCAGTCACCCCTCCCATCATCAGTCCCCATTATCGTCACTCAGTCACCCCGTCACCCGTCACTCCATCACCCCCTCACTCGTCACCCCGTCACCAGTCACCATTCCTCAGTCACTCAGTCACCAGTCACCCCGTCATCATCACCCCTCACTCGTCCCAGTCACTCAGTCACCGTCACCATACCCGTCACTCCCTCACCCAGTCACTCAGTCACCCAGCACCAGTACCCCTCATCAGTCACTCATCCCCATCACCAGTCCCAGTCACCCTCACCCAGTCACTCAGGACCCCGTCACCCAGTCCTCAGTCCCAGTCACCAGTCATCAGCACCCAGTCCCCCAGTCACCAGTCACCCAGTCACTCAGTCACCCCGCCCCCCAGGGCATCAGTCACTCAGTCACCAGTCACCCCTCCCTCAGTCACACAGTCACCAGCACCCCTCACCAGTCCTCAGTCACCCGTCCTCGTCCCCAGTCAGTCACCCGTCACCCAGTCCCCCTCGTCACCCCTCACTCAGTCCCCTGTCCCCCAGTCACTCAGTCACCCAGCATCAGCACCCCGGCATCAGCCTCGTCCCAGTTTTACTCGTCATCAGTCACCCCTCACCCAGTCACTCAGTCACCCAGTACTCGTCACCCCCCACCCCGTCACTCAGTCCTCAGTCACCCATCACCCAGTCACTCGTCACCCCGTACTCAGTCCCCCATCACCCAGTACTCAGTCACCCCCTCACTCAGTCCCCGCAGTCACCCGTCACCCGTCCTCATCCCCAGTCACCGTCACCCCGCACCCATCACTCAGCACTCTCCCCCTCAGTCACCCCCCCACTCAGTCAACCGTCACTCAGTCACCAAGGCACCCGTCACCCAGCACCCAGTCCTCGTCACCCAGTCACCCGTCCCTCAGTACCCAGTCACCAGTCGTCACCCAGCCCCACCCCAAACCCCACCCAAACCCCAACCCAACACTCACCCCCACCCACTCACCCACTCACTCACCCACACCCTCATTTCAACCACACCAACCACCCCCACCTTCACCCCCAAACCCACACCCCACCACCCCCCCCACCAACACCCCCACCCACCCCCCACCACACCCCCACACCCCCCCCACCAACCAACCCAACCCCCCCCACACCCCCACCCACCCACACTCCCCCCAAACCACCCAACCCACCACCCCAACAAACCCCAAACCCACCACCCCCCCCCAACCCCCACCCCAACCCCCCACCCACCCCCCCCAACCCCAAACCCCCCCACACCCCCCCAAAACCCACCCCAAACACCCCCAAACCCCAAATCCCCCACACCCCCCCCCACCCCACCCCAAAAACCACCCCCCACCCACCCCCCCAACCCCCCCCCTCCCCCCCAACCACACCCCCCCACCACACCCCCAACACTCCCCCCCACCCCCTTTC